CCCCAAAACCCCAAAACCCCAAAACCCCTCAGAAATCTTAAGAATTGTATAATTTTTAAAAATGTCATACCTGCCTAAAATAGAGACTCAAGAATACGAGAAGTTTGACAAACTTAGTGGGAATGGCTATTGAAAGGTCAGGTACGAAGAGAAATTATCAATTGTTCTAACTACAAATATATAATTTTAGAGCTTATCCACTGACTATCCCTTAAGAAAGTATCATTTAACCCTTTCAGTTATGTAGGCCAGACAGAGGATGGGAGACATGAATTTCTAGCAGAAAGATATGTTAAAGTCAAAGGAAAAATAGTCGAGGTTGCTAAGTCATCCACTAAAATTTTTGATGAGAAACTTGCATATGTGACTGTCCATTCTAAAATGCATCCCAAGTGAATTATCAAAAATGGGGTTTTAAAATACTCAGATTTCTTTAAAAATTCAGGTAGTGAAAGTATGGCTGCAGCTCCTCAAGAGGAAGAGAAAGTGGAGCCCTTACCTCAAGTAGAGCCACCTCCTCCAGTAATTGAGGAGGAGGAAAAGATTTCTCCTCCATCTCCAAAGTTGCCGACGATAAAGAAATCAAAAACTATTATTCCTGAAGACCCTCCGATGCCTAAGTCTGATCTGAATAAAAATATGGATGGTAATGGATTGGTGATGATTTCTGAAGAGGAATTTCAAGGGAAGTTTCAAGAGACTTATTACTTCCAGAAATTCAGTGGAACAGAGCGAACCCCTTCAGTAGTGGAAGCTGTCAGTGATCTTATGGAACTCTTTACTGAGACTGTCACCAGTAGTATCGAAAAGCAGTATAATCTGTATAAAGATAAATCTGATGCCAAAGTAATCACCAGCATCTGGACTTGAAGCTCGTAAAATTTTAGTTAAAGTTTAGAAAAATTACTGAAAGAGCCAATGCAGCTATTGTAATAGATGCAGTGAAGACCTTTGGAGACACAAATTTTCAGACATCAGTTTCTTTAGCAACGTTTTAAAGAAAGGAAAGACTGGATATAAGAAAGTCATTAACAAGACTATCAAATTTTTAAGACTCTTGAACACCTTTATTGTTGACCTTGGCACACCAAAGAATGTAGCTGATAGAAAAGTCTATAGGGGCGTTCCAGCTCAACTCTTCAGCAATGTGCAGGAAGGAGAGATATTCAGAATCATAAATTGGAGCTCTGCAAGCTCCAATCTAAGTGTAGCTAAGCTCTTTTGTAAAACAAGAGGGCTTAATTCTCTTGTACAGTTTAATATAAAGTAAAAATTTCAACATCATATTTAGAAAAGGATGATATAACGCAGGAGCTTTAAACAAATTTGGAGCCTCTGTATTTAAGCACGAAGCTGAAACAGTCATCCCAGCCTATTCAGCATGCTGATGCGCCAGTAAGACTGAAATAAAAGCAGAAGCGAAGAAATTAAAGTCCATATCCCAAGGTATTTCCCTAATAACCCCATAGCAAAATCCTCAGAGAAGCTAAAACCCTCCTCTCTCACCAAAAATCCCTCTAAAACCCCTCTAAACCTCGACTTGACCAACATTATCGAGCTAAACCTCGCTAAGGATAACAAGAGTGTATCTCTGGATATAAAACTCAGTTTCTAGCTTCTTCTTCCTTTAAAAATTTATTCAATTTTGTTCCTATCTCTTGGGGTTTTGGGGTTTTGGGGTTTTGGGGTTTTGGGG